CGAACCCAGGTCTTCTGCAAGAACAGTCAGTGTTCTGAGCCGCTGAGCCATCTCTCCAGCCCCCAAATGACGATAACTTTTAACAAATTATTTGTTTCTCCTATTGCTTCTTGAATATTTGAGTTAATTGAAATGTAATTATGCTTGTATATAACTATTTTGATATGTTAAATAAACAACCAAAATATCTTCTTTAATGATCTTAAATTTCCCTCCATTAATTGACTAATAATTTACCAGATTCAATGGGATTATGGAGTGACAATAGAGAATGAGGCTCACATTCAGGGCTTCAAAGAAGGCAGAAATCCAACTTGGTTTGTAGGTGCAATTTCTAGGAACATGTCAGGACTGTTCTCCCATAATGCCTGTTTCCCTGTTTTTATTTCTTGAATATGCTGGGACAGGTTCTTGATTTTTTTCAGGGATTGTTTTACCTAATGACATATAACATATACTCATAAAATAAGAAATTAAACCAGGAACTAGAAATATATTGTCTTCTTGTTCAAGCCTGTCATTTTTGACAAACAACTGATTTACGTAAATCATTAGAAAATCAAGACAGTAGTATCAAGTTGAATGTATGGTTATTTGGCCTTTAATGACTATAACGTTAAGTTCATTGGATGCTTAGGTGGATGATAGATAGACAGGACCTTCGTGTGGATTTGTGTGCGTGCACATGAGTTTCCAGTCTCAGGTCTTTGAGGGTTCAAATTTGGGAGAATTTTGAAATGTTCCCATGGTCCTCACTGGCAGCTCTTTAGGGAGCTGATGTGGCAGGAAATTCTGAGTGCTCAGCCTTAACATGAGGCTAGGAGAGGCTGCTCCACTCTGCTGGTGCTGTCATGGTCAGTAATCCCCAATCAAAACAATTTAATTATCATATATTACTTACAAGTAAAGGCTTTATTATGGTATTTCTGCATGTGCATATAGTGTATATTTACCCTCACCCTCTATACTGAACACATGGGAGTAAACACCTGATGCTTGCCTTTTGGAGACTTGCTTATTTCCTTTAACATGATACCTTTTTGAGCCGGGTGTATTCAGAAGACCCTAAGTACAACCAAAACTCTTGTTTTCTGATACTATACTCCCAGCTGACCAGCTAATTTTCAGATTTTGCATGGCAGAAACCAGATATTTCCTTAGGATGATTCTTTAGATGTGATGTGAAGTTATGGGGACTTGTAAGTGATTACTGAGTAAAGGCCCTGACTGGCCAGTGGTATGTGTACTAGCCTGTATGATCCATCCAGTGATGATATCACCTGTCAGGTGCTGAAGTGATGACTCTTTCCCTGTAGAGACATGACCAGTGGCACTCATGGCCAGTCACTTCCTTACTGTCAGAAGTAATGACAGTCCTGGAATTTAACCTGTTTGACTGCAACTGACTGAGTGCCCGTGTACTTCTCAATGCCGTAGCTGCAGTAGGTCAGAGATTTTGTGAAAGGACTAGGTCCCCAAATGCACTGGTAATCTAAGTCTTCACTGAGACAAACCCAGCAAAGTACACAGGAAAGAGAGATACTGTGTCTCAGTCTTTGCAGTTGGGTCCTGTGTGGTAAGTGGTTAGTGTACTAGGTGGAAGTGGTGTGGAACATAGGGAGAAGACAGGGTTAGCCTGTGTGAAAACAGATTTTAAAAGTATCCTTTTCCGGTCACAGGCCATAGCGGAGAACCCAATATTATTATTCTGCTAGATAGACATAATATTAAACTGACTCCTAATGATTTATCACTATACACATAGATTAATGCACCTCTCAACTTCTCTTAAGGAGAAGCTTCCTTAAGCAGATGGTGATTAACACAGAAACCCACAACTGGTCAATACTCAGGGAACAAAAGACTTAAGAATGCTTATCTCTGAATAGGACACCTTTATCAAACTTCTGCCTCCTAAGGCTCAGAGGCCATTATAAAAGAAGGAACAGAAAGACTGTAAGAACCAGAGGTGGTGGATGACCTCAAGAAAATAGAATTTTCCAGACGGCTGGGAGGTTACTCATATGAACTCACAGCAATGGTGACAGCATGCACAAGTTCCCAGTAAGGTCAAGCCAGGCAAAATCCCAGCATTGACATAGGGAAGCGGGTAAGAAACTCCAACCCTACCTGAGGGACTATTGGCAACTGATGGCTGCTGGGAAAGGGAGAGTCAGTATCTTTTAGGGATGTGACTCTTGGTAGGTTAACCAGGTCCCAGTGCATGGATCCACACAGAAGAGCATTTGGAGACACAAATATAATCAAAATACATTGAACAAAATTCATAAAAATTCAATTAAGAAAAGGAACAAATAGCACCCCTTTTGAAAGACTTGAAAAATCTGTCAGTAAAGGAATGAAAGAAAAACCGGATATGGGATTGATGTAAATGAATATCCCCGACTCCTTCCATTTCAGATTTTAAATGCTCTGAACCTCTCCTGACTCAAACCTTTTAATCCTTTACAAGTGTTGGTGTGAGTGTATGTCTCACAAAAGACCAAAAGATTGTGATCCACTAAGTAAATATTGAATGAGTCCTTATGAGTTTGTTCTCCTCTCCCTTTTTTCTACACATGGCGATTAAGTAAAAGCTTATAAAAGTTAAAAGGTCACAAGTAAGTAAGGAGAAAAACATTACCAAGGAGACTGGGCTGACTCAGCTCAGAGTCTGTCCTGGGAAGCAGCACTGCTCTGTGTGAAGTGCAGAATCTTGGTCAGTTCTTGGATTCCACTGATGAAAGAAAGAGGGGAAATTTCTGTCTTGAACAGGGTACAGAGCTGGCTCCATGCTGTCAGTGCCCACTCTGAGAGGCAGGTGTAATCTTCCCTGTTTGTAGAGAAAGTTGTAAACCCAAGAGAATAATTACCTCACTAGGTAGGCCTGTCAAAGATGAAGCTGGGATCAGAAATTGAGTTTCCTCTGGTTTTCTCCCCTTTACAGGAAGAAAATAAGCAAATAAATGTGCCACAAGAATGAAAAACAGGTGATGTAGAGCACATAGACTAGAAGCTTTGAGATCTAGGAAAGGCAAAAGATAGAAAGGGATATTGTCATAAAGCAAGAAAGAGAATTTTGAAAGCTAGTTAGAGAATCACCAAGTTTCTCCAGCTTCCAGTGGTTACTGAAACTGAGAAGAAAATGCAGGTTCCTTCTGTGAGTCACAGCTATTTTTAACCCAGTGATGATGTCTAGGAACAGGGTATTATATTACAGAATCCTGGTCAAGCCAATTATGGATGGATTTGCAGTTTAGTTAAGAAATCTTTGGATCTCATCAACTGATGTGTTGATGAAGATATGGTACATATACACAATGGAATATTATTCAGCTCCTAAAGTGAAATTAAGAAATTCATAGGTAAATGAAAACAATCACTCTGCATGAGGTAACCAAGAAATAGACAGAAAAACACTGTGTGTTCTCTCATAGTTGAATGCTAGCTTTGAATTCTTAGATATACATGCTTCCATTTGAAAACCCAGAGAGGTCAAGAAACTAATACATGGCCATGGGGGAGGCTCCTTGGAAGAGGCAGTAGAATGCAGTGATATGAAAGGGTAAAGGGAACATTAGTGTAGGAAAGCATGAGCTGTAGAACAAACAAGGAGAAATCAAGCTGGTGCCGACTTCAGAGTCACATGTCTACTGGCTATCATACACAGTGCTGGAAGGCACTACGTGCAAGCTACCAGAAGGAAAAGATCATCAACCTTACCCAGCTGTGAATCCTGTGAACTACAGTAAGAACTGACTTGGCATGATACGCTGGCATTGCAATAGTGGAATGAATATTATGGGAGTAACCAACCACTATCGAATTGGATTTAACGTTTGCTTCATAAGATGAAGCCCGTACCTGGTGTTGATATCAGGCTTAGGAACGTGAGGCTAGACAGGTCACAGGACGTAGAGGAGAATCTAATACTGTTTTCTACTAAATATTAAATTGACTCTTAATGACCTATTGTTAAACACATAAATTATTGTATCTCTCAACTCTCACCAGAGAAGTTTCCTTATGCAGCAGATGGTGCTTAGCACAGAAACCCACAACTGACCAAGGTGTAGAGAATAAAAGACTTAGGAGTGCTTATTCCTGAATAGGATACTTATCTAAACTTCTGCCTCCCAAGGTTCAGGGATCATTATGAAAGAGAGGGTGGAAAGACTATAAGAGCCAGCAGTGGTAAATGACCGAAAGAAAAGTTTTCTTTCTGGGCAGTTAATCACAAGAATTCCCAGCCATGGTGACAACATGCACACGTCCCCAGTAGGCACAAGTCAGACAAATTCCCAGCATAGTCATGGGGAGTGCATAAGAAACCCCAACCCGACCTAAGGAAATTTTGGCAACTGATGGCTGCTGGGAGGGAGAGAGACAGGCTCTTTCAAGGACAGAACTCTTGGTAGCTTAGCCAGGCTCCAGCAGATGGACCCACACTACAGGACATTAGGGTACACAAATTAGACTCTACAGGTCTTATTTTATATGTATGCATATAGAATATATATTATAACATATAATATGTGTATAATAGATTACCTTAAGTTGGGGGGGGATAAGGGGATCAGGGAGGGAATCTAGATACCATCAAATCATATTTTAGAAAAATTGCAAAATGCAATTTAAAAAAGAGTTTAGACATCCAGTTAGAGAATCTCTGAACTTCCACAACTGCCAGCAGTCACCAAGTCCGAGAGGAAAGGAAGGTTCTGTGAATCACAGCATTTAACAGTGATGATGTCAGGAACAGGATATTTTCTATTCTACAGAGTCTCAGTCAAGGCAGTTGTAGATGAATCTGCATTCTTGTCAGGAAATCATTGGCCCTGCCCACGGCCAGGGAGTTGCACTTCCTGCTGGGTGAGGCAGCCAGCCCTATAAAGAGGTGCTCAGGACATGCCTGTAGCACTGGTGGTGCTCAAGTCGTACTCTGTTCTGGAATCAGGTGAGTCTGATTTCTGGAGTTGGTCTGTCTTTTATATTCTCATGTACTGAGTTAAATCTCGAGTGTGTAAGTTGATTAGTCCAAATACCATGAATGTTATCTAGTAGGCAGAAATTTAGGTATAGAGCATAATGATTTATTGGCAAAATTTGCTTTTGGTTTTCTCGGATAGGTACTTTCCATCCACAAGGAAAAGCAAGGGATTAGGGAAACATTTTATTGAAGATGAGGATAGAACTGAGAAGGTCTCCTTCCCATACTTTTGGTGTCCCTTTCAGATGCTCACGTCTCACCAGATGTCAGACAATCGAATTCTTCCTGAACTATTATAGGCTTTTCAGCCAGTCAATCTCCTGGTATGTGACAAGGGACAGTAGTGTTAGGAATTGCTTTTTGAAGATGTTATTTGTGCAAGAAACTTGTTTTTTGGATTAGAGAGGTTTTTAAAGGAATAAAAGACATGAAATAAAAGCAGGATTTCCCCAAGCTAATGAAACAGATTATTGACATTTAGAGAAAAGCCAGGAAGTCTTAGAGGAGGAGTTGGGAGGTTGAGGTGAATGCATAGAGAAGTAACACCTGACGTTAAATCAGCTTGTCCTTATTTCTCTGTGGGGATCAACTCTGTGAACACTGTCTTGTAATTTCTTATAGATACTTAGAATCTAGAAGATGTCTTATCAACAGCAGCAGTGCAAGCAGCCGTTCCAGCCTCCTCCTGTGTGCCCACCCCCAAAGTGCCCTGAGCCTTGTCCACCCCCAAAGTGCCCTGAGCCTTGTCCAACCCCAAAGTGCCCTGAGTCTTGTCCACCCCCAAAGTGCCCTGAGCCATGCCCCCCTCAGCCATGCCAGCAGAAATGCCCTCCTGTGCAACCTCCTCCACCCTGCCAGCAGAAGTGTCCACCCAAGAGCAACTAAGGCATTCAGCAGTCATCAGGACCAAGAGAAGATAAAGAACATGATTTCATCACTTCCATAGCAACACCATCTTCCCTCCAAAGCCTGTCAAAGATCCTGAAGATTCTTCTCTACCCTTTATCCTTTAATCTGCCTGCAGTGATCCCTATAGGGAAAGGCATTTTCTGACAGCTGTGAAAGAGCTGTCTGACAATGACAGTGGTTCCAGCATCCCAGATGATCATAAGGAGTGGCACCTGTTCTCCAGTGCTGGTCAGCAGTGGTTGTCTGTCACCTTGACTGGGATTTCTACCACTTTGCCTGTTGAAGCATTTTCCTACTTCCCAAATAAAGAATACTTCTGGTGCTGGTATAACCGTATTGTTTCTTTCAAAATCCACTTTATTGCAAGCATCGAAAGCTCAGATTCATTTATTTCTGTCCGTCATTGATTCCTGTCTGTGTGTGCCAATCAAGTTATGACTGAATTTTGGATCATATGCAAACATTGCTTGTCTATCATATCAAACTTGTTTTTTCTCCCATCAGTGTTTGATTGTTTGAAAAGCATTTCTTTCTGCAGAACTGCGTTCTCCTCTTTTACCCGATGTTCTCTTAGAAACCCTGTAGTGCTTGTTGATGTATCACTTCTTTGGTATATTCTTTGCCTTCACCACACACCTACCCACCGCTCACTTTTCCTTTCTCAACTCTAATAATTCACTCCTTCTTTCCACCTGTGAAATACCTTTCTTTGGGAATATGCTTGTTCTACCCATGCATTTCCCTTCAAAGGACATGATTTCATTCTTGGTGAGAGAACATGTATAAATGCCAAATTTTCCAATCTAGTCATTCACTGAAGCAACCTAGACTTGTTAAAGAACTTGCATATTATGAGCAGTTCTGAAATGAGGATGGTGCACAAACATCTCTACTGTGTGCTCTGTGTGGCTTCATTGTGCATACACACTGGCGATGTAGACACACACTGGCGATGTAGACACACTGGCGATGCATACACACTGGTGATGCAGACACGCCCTGGTGATGCAGACACACCCTGGTGATGTAGACACGCCCTGGTGATGTAGACACACCCTGGTGATGTAGACACGCCCTGGTGATGTAGACACACCCTGGTGATGTAGACACGCCCTGGTGATGTAGACACACCCTGGTGATGTAGACACGCCCTGGTGATGTAGACACACCCTGGTGATGTAGACACGCCCTGGTGATGTAGACACACCCTGGTGATGTAGACACGCCCTGGTGATGTAGACACACCCTGGTGATGTAGACACGCCCTGGTGATGTAGACACACCCTGGTGATGTAGACACACACTGGTGATGCATACACACTGGTGATGCAGACACGCCCTGGTGATGTAGACACACCTTGGTGATGTAGACACGCCCTAGTGATACAGCTTCATCAGTTCTGTTTTTACTGTTATTTCTTTGCGGGAAACTCCAGACTGATTTTCAAATGGGGTGATTAATGCAATCTGTTAAGTGCATGTGTGTTCCTTTTCTTCAAAGTCTTTGCAGTACTTGTTATTTTGTTTTGATGGTACTCATGTTCACTTGGATGTGGTGGAATTCCAGTACAGAATTAGCCTGTATCTTTTCTAATTTCTAAAGATGCCAAACTTTTTTATGTGATACTGTAAGCTAGGGAAATTCCTAATTATATCACAGACTTGTCT